GTCACTGAATTGTAGCTACCCTGGGTATCTATACCTGGCAAGGCGCCAGCTACACCTTACCATTCAGATGATGCAAATTATGCCACTTGCATTTCTTGCATCACCACCGACTCAAAAATCACAAAAACTCACCTCCAACACAACCTCAAAAACCTTACTTCCGCACACCCCTCTCCACCACCTACTTTCGAGTTTACGTAGTGCTTTCTCAGGCCACCCGCCCCAGACCCCCTACTTACTTACTCACTTCATTCGCCAAACACAACTCAGCTGGTGCCTTCTACGAAGGCTGGCTTTCGTAATGAATCATCCATACAACCCAAGCTGTAAGCTGCTGGCACTAACTTTGCATCTGTCATTCTTTTTGTTTGCACCCATCTTCAGGGATCCTTATTCAAGAAAAACAACTACCTCGCTACCAGGAATTTGTGTAGAAGTCGACCCGCCACCCCCAGTTGGTACATCTTTTTGAGTGACGCGCGCACATGATTGAGCCAATATCACCTGTGAGTTCCTTCACCTCATCTCGGACCTCTCTGTAAACCTGAAAACCACGAGGTTGTAGAGGAAAAAAGTCTTCCAAATGTCAAATTTCAGGTTCCATGTGGGTCTCTTCCCAGGTGTGTTCTTGTTCCTCCCCAAGGTGGGCTTACCCACCTCCCAGCCTCAAGTCCAGCCGTTCTTTTCGACGCAGGCGTTCATCGCGATCCGCGAAGGGCCACGACGTTTGGCAGCCCTCCGCGGCGAAATCGTTCCTTCACTTGAATTTGCTGCTTCAGAAGTGGGAAAAGATTTTGAAATATGTCCTTGAAGGAGATTCACCCATAAGAAACCATTTATTCACGAATAGCTAATTTATAATCGCTTATAAACTGTATATTATATATATATATCATTACAGTATACGGTATACGTATGCTTAAGCAAAACCAAGATCAACATGCATTCTTCAGACGTCTGCTCCGAACCCGCCTGGGCTGAAAGCGGCTGTCCTACGACGTCTGCACCGAGCTGACAGACCAAAGAGGAACTCACATTGGCGGAGCTCCCTCAGTAGAGCCCAGACATGCATAGATGACCAGTGACCATGGCCCTCTACCAGGTGGGCACTGCAGCTGTGCGCCGCTTGCAACTGAAGAATGTTGGCAACGCATGAAGCCTTGGCGACGACCCTTCTTAGGCGAACCACTGATTCATGATGATTTAGTTGAGTCTATCGGTCTATCCTATTACCAGTAACAGTGGATGATGATGGTTAGTAAAGGCATGTAAAGGCCTCGTTCAAAAGGTAGCGAAAATTGTTTACTGGCTGTTACAGGCAATAGAAGAGACCAAGATCTATGCGTCACACAAACAATGAGAGCTCTTGAGTTTGCAAGCAAACCCGGAGAGCTACTCTGACTTCCTGTGCTCAGCCCAGGCGGGTATGTTTCCCGATGCCCCATGCCACTGATTCGACAGCCTCAAAATCAGGCAGGACATGAGGGGGGCAGTGAACAATTCCTTGAAAATAATCCGCTGGATGTCCCAAAAGGGAACTGGAAGTGGAAAATGCGGCTGCGTAGTTTCATCCTCTTCGGGAAACTCTGCTTTCCCACATGCCAGAACGACTGCCCATGTTTAGAAAGTGCTTGTCTGTGGCAGCCTGAACGATGCTGTCACCCGCACTCACCCACCACCATCCACGGTCTGAAACTTGTGCCAAGAGCCAACGCACACAATGCTATGCCCAACTTATGTGGCGCACAAAGGATGCGTGCACTGCGCAAAGTGTCATGATCCAAACCCCAGGTGGATTCATGCTACAATGCTGGAGCACACATTGGACAATTATCATGTCAAATCGGTTACAATACGAACATTGCCCTTCAGCCCAGCTGTAGTGACCCCTCCTTTTTTCCACTTCAACTGGTGGCCCCAAGGCCAGGCAACGCCTCAAACGCCACAAACGCCGCCCACGCCGCAAAACGCTCCAGGCTTCACATCTCTAGGCTCTGCCGAGCGACTTGCCGAGCTCTGTCTTCGGACCCTCATCTTTTCACTGCAGATCTTTCACTTGGCATTCGGATGTGTAGCTCAAATAGGGCGACCAAGCTCCCAGTCAACGAAGGAAAATCCAGTCTACCACAGCCAGGTGTCTCAGTGTCTCATCAGTGTCTTCAACCCGTTTGGGTCGCAACATCAGTGTCTCCCATTTGGTACCACCTTCCCCGGGTTTTGGGTCTTCCTATTCAACATACACACCGTTACATCATTTGGTGCGACCCAAACGGAAGGTGGCACCCCTTTCTTTCCGCTCTCCGCGTGCGGAGAAGGACCGCTGCGGACCGCGGACCGGTGGACTCGGTTGGACGACTGGTTCCGAACCAAATTGGGATCATGGATGGGTGCGAAACGGATTGGGGCTTTGTGGGACTCAGACTTGGACTTTGCAAGAGAAATCAAGAGAAGAAGCTAAAAGAGGTCTCGTAAAAGTGACAAAACCCCAAGCATGATTGACATTTTGTTGAACATTGCGAATGCAATACAAACATATATATATATGAAAATATTGTGAATACTTGTGAATCCTTTAGGAGGTCACGAGGTACCTTGACCTCACGGCGAAATTCTTCGGCTCCCTTCGTTTTCGCGGCGGCTGTGGTGTCCGCGCTGGCTCACGCATTCGGCCTGAGCGGAAACCGGAGAGACTGCCGCAGTGACGCAGTGACTCCGCACACCATGAAGACCACAAGAAGCACCCGAGTCTTCAGCGGCTCAACAATCAACCGCTGGTGGTCGGAGAATGTCTCCATTGGCACCCCAAAAGCAGCCTGGTGGTTGAGGAGTGGAAGATCAGTGGCTTCTCTTTGCGTTGCGACGGAGCTGGAGGAGTACTCGCTTCACTGGTGGAATCCACTCAGAACTTGCCATGGATCTTGGATTATTGCCTTCGATGATGCGCCTTCTCTATCCCTCTCTCCCATGTGCTCTATTCATTTTGAATGGTTGCACTCTCTCTTGTGATACTTGGTGATACTTGTGAAGCCTGGCCCACAGGTGTTCCCTCATCAATGATGTCGGTGCTTCAATCAATTTCGGTGGTCACAGGAATTTCAGGTGATATGGCTGGCCATCTTCCCAATCTTACACCACATGTCCGGGGCAGTGTCCGGGGCATTCTGTCTGCCCCCTCAGTCTACAGCGGAGCAAAACTCCAAACAACCGTTCCTCACGGGGATCGAATCAGTCGGTTCTCAGGTTCGGAGGTGGTCGATGTCTATGTTAAAATTCTATATCTATACATACGTAATTATGTATATAATATATTGCAATATATATATAAGGTGTATATATACATATACATATACGATACGACTACATATATGGTGTTTCTTTTATCATTTCATGTCCTGCATTTCCCGCAGCACAGCACAGCTGGCAAGCGCCTTTTCTGTTGAGGGAGCGGAAGGCGCCTGTCTAACGCATGGAAACGGACAGTGAGCGTCCTGATTGATCTGACCTAAAAACTACGTCCAAAAGAATTGCGCCAAGAATTTCAACTCCCAGACGTGCAAAAGAACATCGGCAAGACGAGTGGCCTGGTTTATTCTAAATCCATGACCACTGCATGCCACTAACTAGCTTGGGTGTCCTGTACTCTCATCCGACGAGTCCCCGGAACTCCCTGTCAAACAGTTGAACCTAAGAGAGTTGCTATTCGATCATCATGTTCACGAATTTCATGAGTACCATCAGGGACCCGTTGGAGAGACAAGGGTTCGTGCTTTCATCAGAGGACCATCATCGCGGCCAAAGATTTCTCATTCTGAATCTGCAGCTCCAACTTGTTCATCGCCTCGAATTCGAACCCATGACATTCCACATGTGAGGTTTCTAAGAACAGTGCCACTGGTCACGAAGTCAAAACTTCAAATCATAGATATATATGAGGGACGGTCAAAACTCCTTATTCTTCTTCAACAAAAAATGGACGTCATCGGTTTTGAGTTGGACCTTATCGTTTTACAGTGTTTTGAGTTCGTCGCATACTTATGATCATATACAGCGCTGGGGTTATCGGTTTTGAGGTGGACCTTATCGTTTTGCAGGGTTTTGTGCACAAACCTACCCCTCTTTACTAAAGTGGTCTTCGCATGTTTTGACCGTGGCTCATATGATGCTATACGCAGTAGTTGTCTGCCTTGGGGTCATACATGGGGCAAATGGTATGTAACTCTTGCCAGTCCCATGGATGCTCGGAACCAATGCCGGAGGACACCTGAGAACATCGGAACTATGGCCAACACCGATCAGCTTGGTAGAAGACCGATCGAACAGGTTTGGGCCACCCACCTTCCAATTCGTCCGATTCGCATGGATGGTCAGGGAGTGTTTGGGGAGGTCGTTTGGGTTCGGTGCGTGTCATGTTCATGAAACCAAAGGGCAGCCGCGTTTTTTTTTCAAGCCTTGTGCGTTGAAAACTCCACCCTCCTGATGCCATAGCCATAACCCTCCAAACTGGTTAGTAGGGATACCTGTTGGTTTCAAGAGGTTTCGCCGGGGGTTCACGGATGGATTCTGCTCCGCTGGGCTCCGCTCTCCAGAGGTCTGTGATGGTCAGGTGCCATTGGCGAGAAAAAGGGAAGAGAATAACTGAACATCTCGGAGAGTGTAGATCTGGCCGGCTGGATCCGTCTCGCCCCAAGTGACGGGCCTACCGGCGAGCCGAGCAAAGCCGAGCTTCCTTCAGGATGAAGGCTCTAAAGTTCTCTTGGGAAATGACGCCCTGTGCATTGGCGCGTGCTTGCACCGCCACATGGCAAGCCAGGTCCTGACCTAAAACTGCTTTCAAATCCTCGTGGGTGATGTGCCCCGTACCCTGGAAGTCGAAGAAATTGAAGAGCTCCTCCAGAACCTCCGACCACCAACGCCAGCACGAGTCCGTGGCGCAGGATGGGTTGGATTTCAAGGTGGTTTCGGCCCACCCCTGAAGGAACGAGTCTGAAACGGGGATGAATCATGCCAAGTACACAGGGTAAGTTCAACTGAAATGTTCTGGTGTAAAGCAAACATAGTCACATAGTCTTTCCATGTCCTTCCAGTGGTTGCTTTTCAGGTTCTATGTGTCACTTGCCGGGTCCAATGGTTGAGCCACCAACCATCACCAACCAGTAGACCGTAGACCAGTCATTCCCACCTTTCTGAAGAACGATCTTGAACGCTTCAAACCTCCAGTCACCGCCCTCCGCCCGTCCGCCCGCCCGGTCCGCGGAACGAGCAAGAGATGGGACCCGACAATGTCAGATGGTTGCTTCACCATCCACTCGCAAGGACACCTACGAATGATAATATATACCCAGAACCTGGTCGTGACCTCTATGTTGGACCACCAAATAGCCAAAAGATGGCAAATTCCTATCAAAACAGAGGTCAAATGGGTTATATTTATACACCGCTTTCAGAATAAATGGCTATATCTGGAAACGAGCAGATGGCACCAGAAAGTGCCAAAACCTAAGCCATGTACTCTGCACTGGGAGTATTTGAATCCTCACCTTTGAAGGTAGGACCTCTTGTATTAAGCTTGCATTCAGGTTCAAATCCCACAACTGCGTAGTTGAAAGGTGTGTTGTGCGACCAAGTCATGCAGGATTCTTGGCATAGCTGGGCATGACTGAGTGGCTAAATCCGACCATCAACCCATGTTGCCCCAGCATAAGTTCTCAAACTGCCCACTTTCTGCACTTGCACCTTTTCTGACTTCACATGGGCTGGCTTGAGGGTGGCTGCCAAGAAGTCGGTGTGCTGTATTTTCCCATCCTCAGCTGATGCGCGTGAAAGCTGAAAACGACTGGGTGGGCAACTAAAGGCGCTGAAAACGACTGTACAAAGTGGTGTGGTTTGATGAAGTTTCTGTCTGGGCCCCTGAAACTAATTACAGTAGAGCCTTCTTCCCTGCGCACTTCCGAGCTCCGACCGGACCCCTCACGCTTACGGACTCTCATGGACTGTCCAGGCCCCAGGCGGTGAGCTTTCGTGCGCCCGAAGATGCACGAACCAACACTACATGGCTCATGGCACTCTCCACTGACCGCTGGCAACCTCCAAGAACCCCAAACCATCCTCCACTCCACCAGGACCGACCCCATCCACTTCAGCCCAGGCACTTGGTCTGCATCTAAGCAATCCAGGACCGCGTCGGTCTCCATCTTCGACAGCCGCACGTCGCAGATCTTCAGCGCTCGCCGCAGGTCGTCCCGGGAGATCCAACCTGCACCACCGGTCGACGGCGGAGGTCGGGTCGGTGGGGGCGGAGGTCGGGTCGGTGGTTGGCGCGGTGGAGCGTAGAAAGAAAGGTGGTGAATTCCGCACATATGCCCAAATAGGCGTAAGCACTGGCGTGCTTTTTTGTGGGATGCAAGATGACCAAAATGGATCCCAAGGTGGGTTTACTTTTGTAGAGTGGTTCTGATACAGTAGTGTTGAGGGTGTCAATAGGGTGTCCATGGAATCACTTTGATTTCAACAAGAAGTGCGATTTCAGAATAAATGGCACAAACCCCAAGATGTCCTTCGAATGGGGGTGCGTACGACCACTTTGGGGGGGATTGTGCCACCTACTCTCAATCCTATAATTCCAATTCGTGTTGGCTCTGGAAGTTTTCAGAGGGGTCAAGGAGTGTTTTCACTGATATCAGGTGCTGCAGGCTTGCAAGGACTCAGGTTGGTTTGCATCCTTGTCTTGGCCCTGGCTGTGGTTGGAGTTGCTGTTGGAGGTCGTATTTACAGGGATGCCCCAAGTTTTAGTTGCCAAGCCTTCAACATCCCAAGTGAAACATTGAGACTGTATTGCTGCACATTGCTGCACATGCGGAGGGTACAGGACGCCAGCACCATGGTATACTTATGGCACTTGGGGTGGAAAACGAGCACTCCATCGTTCATCCCAGATCCCGCAGCCCCAACCAGTGGCCAGCCATCAACGCCCACCGAATCGCTGAATTGGAACCTGAACCTCGCTGAGTGGGGACCCCGCGAATCGTCTCTCAGCGAGCCCCGAACTGACCGGAGGGGTGCTCGCCTGCTTGCGCCAGGTCGAGGGCCGAAAAGACTTGTTGAAGCTCCTGGAGGCGAGCGAGGGCAGAAGGATATCTATGGCAAGGATCCGTTGAGTGGGAATTGGGATGGAGTCTGATGTTACATTACATTGTCCGATTGACCGAGATGGATAGGGCCAATTGATGAACTGCCATCCAGTAGACAATGTTGTGTACAATATGGATGCTCCCATCCAACATTGGAAGATGGAAGGTCCATGAGGTGCTATGTCCCAAGGATTTCTGCATGTGACCCCATGAGAATTTCAAGCAAAGCAGCGTTTTTTGTTTCAATATAGGATCCTATAGGCCGTCCCAGCTTCTAACGCCAACCTCCACCATCTCAAATATCACAAAAACGAAACATCTATACTATATGATGTAATAAAGTAAGATCGGCAAGATATTATAGTAACATTAGTAACCATAATAGATCTCACCAGCTGAATCTCCACGCCCCGACCTCCCCCTGCCACCCCCCTCCACTCTTGACCCTCCCACCGCCTGACTTCCCCGCTCCTCGACATCCTTGGGCTTCGCTTCGTGTGCCGCCACGGTGAGGATCGCCTGCTCAAACTTGCTGAAGCGACTGAAGGAGCTGATCCGCTCCACCAAACCTGCACGACCCGGCGAGCCGCTTTGGACGGCCGGGCACGCGAAGCCCCGGCACGGGTGGGCCGAGCCGGCGCGGCGAACGGCTCGGACAGGCAGAATCGATGTTCGGAAGAAGCAGGAAGGTACCAGATGATTTCATCTGATAAGGATGAGAAGGAAACAACCAGGATTCACCACATACGACAAAAACCTGACACAACCAACAACGAGAATCATCTGATTTCATCCGCAGCTCCCAGATTTCGGGAGGTGCCATGATTTCATCCGTGAGGGCGGGGGGGTGAAGGACCGAAGACGACGAACAACTGGCTGCGGGTCAAACCCTGGAGTTCCGTTTTCGGTGGGTCGCCCGGTGTCCTCTATGTTGTTCCATTTTCGGTGGGTCAATGCTTCGGCCCCCATGTTGACCTGCTGCCGGCCTGAGCCCAAAATTGACCAAATTGACCTAACCTTGAGATCGTCACCTTGCTACGCTACAGCAACATTGCGTCCTGATTTGGAGAAATGCAAGGATAGACAACTGAAGGATAAGAAGCGTAAGCAGCGGCTCGTGGAGAACAATGAAGATCCCAACTTGCAAGCTGGAAAGGGCTGATCAAACACTGATTCAAATAAACCTAAGCACCTTTAAGTCTGCACTTATACAACCACTATACTGTTCCTACTCAGACCACTCCACAGCCACTCCATCCCCCCCTGTGGCTTTGGAGGTGCCAGTCGCGCCGCGCCCAGGGCCCCCCGCTTCGGAGCTGCTCGGGCTTGCAGGAGGGGCTCGCAGGCGTCTCCAACTCCGGCTGCAGCCAGGGGTGAACCAAGGCTTCAGCCGCAGAGCAACGATTCAAGGGTTCCTTGACCTGGGCCCGGCGGGCGAGTTGAGCATGGTCGAGCTGGACGAGCTGGATGGACCCGGAGATTTACGTTCTTTGGGTGAAATGGTTAAGGAATCACGTCATTCGTTGAGGCAAAGGTACAAAAAGTCATTGATGTTTGGTCCAACCTTCCATTCCTTCAATTGGGGGTGGTCGCTCTTTCTTTCCGTAATACCCAGACACTCCATGGGACTGCCATGGACTGCCGAGAAACGGCCAGGGGTGGTTGTGGGGGTCAATGGGGCGGCATTTCTGATCATATATGGCAGTCCCATGGAGCGCAGGCAGTCCCATGGAGCGCATAGGATATATGAATTCTGTCGGTCTGTCGGTCTATCTGTCTATCTCAGCTTGTGCTCGGCCGACCTCCGCTCCGGCCGGGCGCTTCTGTTGGGTCTTGAGGCCACGAGCGACCCGGTCCCGGTTGCTTCCGGTCCAGTGAAGGCGAACGTGCCCGGGCTTGTGAAGTGGTGAATTTGAGAGGGATCGTGGCGCAAGTCAACTGAAGGCAGATATCTCGAATGACTCTCGCCCCGTTCCAGTGCCTCCTGCCCAGTATATAACGTGGAGCATCAGCCGGGGTCCATGCAATGTGACCGCGTTCGCTCTAAACCTGCGTGGGCAACCTCCTGATGCCACCCCACTCCGAACAAAAACGCTTTGCAGTGATCGAAGAGGGACCAGCAGCGATCGAAGAAGGTCTTCTGCCTCAATGGCCAGTGCCCCAGCATTCCGCAAACAGGAGAGCCGGAGGCAGCCATTGGCGATTCGACGGTAGGCGTCCTCAGGGGTTGGCGATTCCACGCGCGTCCTTTGGGAGTGAAAGATGTGAAAGCTGCCTTCTGATAATTTGGGGTTCTTTGGGCATGTAGGGGAAGATCCGGGTGTCAGAAACCGTAGCAAGGTGAAGACAATCCTCAATAATTCTCAGGGGGTCAGGGTGGGGCAGTGGAAAACAGTGGAAGCAAGTTGAAGCAAGAGACAATTGTTGCAGGACAAGGACTTCACCATACACTCGACTCGTTTCATTGGAAATAGAAGAAACATAGTCACCAGAATTCCCCAGAAGGGGATTCCATCCCACAGGGAAAACATGGGAAAACCATTGAAAATCAATCATCCCCTTAGGCCCTGGACCAGCAAAACCATGACACCATATGGCACCAAAACGAAACGACTGATCAGCACTGCCAGGCAACTTCTGGGCCAGAGGCCGTAGAGCAAAAGGGGTGCCTGAGCTCCCATCTCAGGCTTTTGGGACATGCGCTGCTCGCGGAGCATCGGAGCCCTCTTACGATGGGAAAGTGGCGACTTCGGGCCATCCTAGAAATGTCTTCCTGATAGAACTGGGACACATATCAACAAAATGTCCGGAACACGGTGTGACTCCGAGGGGAAACACGGAATGTGCCAAGTCTGGGCACTCCACCTGCGTGAAAGGCTAGGAACACGTCATCTTCGTTCGTCCCGCCAATAGCCACCGAACACGATAACTTATCACCGATTGAAACAGGTGGACCCCCCCCGATTGAAGTACGTGTTCCATGGCATGAGATCACCGCACTATACATAGCAGAAAGATGTGGGTGTGCATTTTAATGGGGAGACCCCCAACCAATGACGAGTTTTTGGTCTAATTCCCTTCTTCCAGGAGATCTTTGGGATGGTTCCCTCTTTGCAACAATACACACTCATACAGAGTGTGCACATGTTTCGGTGCGAAGTCCAATCTACACAACCAAACTGAACCACGACTCCTGTTTCCATGCCCGTCTGACCTTCCTCTTGATGGCTAGCGATGCCCCAGTTGAGGCACGTCCCCCCGTTTCGCGCCAACGTCCCGCGCGGCGTGCAACGGAACGTCGGACGGTCCCGCTCCGAACGGAGCTGCTCGTTGGTGAGAACGACGAAGAGCATGACTCCAAAAGACCACAGGTCACACTCCAAGCCTCGACCCCGCGAGCAGCTGCGTGACGCGACCCGGTTCGCAGCTCAGCCGGACCAGGTCGGGCGAAGCGAGTTCGGCCGGGGCGGCGGAACACGGTAGCGAGCCCAAGGTCCATGGGTTTCCGTGGCGAGGTTTCGTTCGTCTCAACGCGACGCGGCTGGCAGCAGTTCGTCTCTAGATGGTGATGATCAGGCTCAATTAAGGTCAACTGAAGACTCTGTCCCTCTTTCGGCACTGGTCTTCTAAGGTCAACGTCCCGACCGTCCGGACGTCCAACCGGAATCCGCTCGGTTCTCTGAAACGCGACCGGCCGGGTGCCACCACCATTCAGACCATGTGAAATGAGATCATCCCCTTCCAAGAGAAGCATCCACCGGTGGGTGAAGAGTGGTGTCAAACAGGGGCAAGATGCATCAACATCCGTAAACTCACCAGTTCAAATACCTTCTTTGTGAGCACCACTCACCATCATCCTGGCTAAGCTAGGCATTCCGAATCAGCTCTCCCCCCTCACATCGCTTTTCAACAGCTAGGCGCCGTAGCTGTTCAAAGGGTCTGTGCTCTTCAGAACTTCGGGCGCCAGGAAGTACAAGGTCCCGACCACACCTTCGAGCTCCCCTTCTCCTGGTACTCCGGCTTGCAAAAAGCCTCGGCTTAGCCACGGCGCAGCTACTTCTAGACGCTTCGCTTCGAACAGACGCTTCACGGCGTTGAAAAGCACGCGTGGGCAAGCTGTGCTTAGGAGTGTGGTGCTGACTTTGGCCGATTGGTGCATCTAAACGGAGCCTTCTCGACGATCAAATCGTTGAATTCCAAAGATCCTACACGACTACTACAGTAGAGCTTGGCATGGCTAAACTCCTTGAGCACATCGCCAAACCAAACCAAACAACCCCCCCGGCACGTCCGCGTCCGGCGCCTCCGCGTCCGCGTCCGCTCTATCGCCCCGTCCGGTGCTCGGGCGCCTGCGAGGCCGAAGTCGATGACCTTGGCCATGCGCCCCAGGCGCCGGTCGTTGCAGTGCGCCAGGAGGCAATTGTCAAACTTCAGGTCTCGGTGGGCAATTCCTTCGGAATGGCAGTACCTCAGATCCGAAGGAATCCGGTTCTCCCGGGATGGGAGGTTCTGAAGAAGCCGCTAGAAACGGCGAACGATGTTTGGACCGAAAGCGAAGAGGTCGGAACCGGAGTGTGGCGGTGGGTGTTGCCGTAGGAAGGCGGAGAGTTTGGTTGGAATGGATCGGAAGGGGTCCGGCTCTGGGCAGAGAGAGAGAGAGAGCGGAGGTTGGGATTGGCAAAGGCGTGGAGGTCGGGATAAGGAAGTCTGGACAATGCATGGGAATTGTCCGGTGCCCAAAGAAGCAACTGAAGAAGTAACAAGAAGAAAGCGGGAGAATCACCTGATTGAAATGCTGTGGAAGTGATAAATAAATTCAAAGTCTGAAATTAAATCATGACAACCAGAAGACGTGAAGCAAGTGGGCACAGAGATGAAAAACGGCTGATTCCTCGGACTAGAGTGACTAGCATGCTCAGAGGGTGCCAAAACCTTGTAAAACATTTTATATGGAGTTGACGGCGGCCTGGCATGTGATGAAATGTGGGCGTCTGGGCGAATGCTTCTCAAAGACTTGCCCCTGTATAGGCTTCATAGCGGATTGAGACTAGAAGGCACAATCCCCAGACTGCATACTGAGTATACTGTGTTTTTAGGTGTTTTCTTTCAAGATTTGACACACGCTCCAGATGGTGACCCACCCGAAATGGGCACCGTACCGCCTGTACCGCTCAGCACTCCGCCGTGGACGGTCCCTCCGAGCGGCGCGATGGCCCGTGCCACATCGCGGAAGAGTAACCTCCGTGCGGCGTTCCGGTCGAGGGTGGCCACCCGGTGACCGTGGTGACAGATAAGTGGGTGTGGGTGGGGTGGGGAACCTCCACCCTGACAGTGCCAAATATTCAATTAGCTTGCTCAAAATTGGTGGTCGTGAAGAAACTTCAAGGTCATCAAGCTTTAAGCACCGGGGTTGGATGGCCTCACGTAGAAGAGCATAATAGCACCTACGGGGTTTATGATGGTTTATGCAGTCCTTGGCATCAGCATGATCCTGACTCTCCTGGATCTAACTTACTTCACACCCAAAAAAACTACTACACACACTCTGGCGGCCTCTGGCAGCAGTTCCGTTCTCCCACCAAAAGTACCACCGCAAGTGACCCAAACCCTCGCGGGTCCACGGTCCCGATCACTCCGATCACGTCGCCTGATCTCATCCGAATCATCCTCCATGGGATCCAACTCTCCGATGTTTCCGCCTTCGCACAGCTCGGTCACCACGTAGATGGAGCCTTTGTCCTCGAAGTACTCCTCGGCCGGTGAAGAGTCAGGTGAACACCACAGCGGAAAACCAGAAACCACGCTGCCACCGCGGGGGTGGCAGAAGTGTCGAGTTTACCCGAACTGGTCGGTGGGGTGACTTTGGGATATTGGGGTGCTTATAGTTGGCCGTGGGCTGGCAATGGCAGGGGATGGAGGTGGTCTTTTGAAGGACTGGAGGCTTTGGCTCCTTGCCAGGGTGCCAAGCAAAATGCGCAACGGGAGATAGAACATGAGATAGCAAGGGCAAGACCCAAACCCACGTCTTCAGCGGGTTCAGGGCCGTTCAGGCCAGAACTCTGATCAGCAGCATGTTCTCATCCCAGAACATGAGGTTGCGCGGCCCAAAACGCAAACATATGGAAGGGAAACACATCCCAGTTTGCTACAAACGGTGGATGTCCTCAAAGCATGGTTAACGCAACAGAAAATCTATGCCCCGAAAAGCGAAGTGGACCATTTCAGGTTCTTGTGCAATCCGGTTGTTCAGGGGTCCATGGTTCGTGTCAGGCGTTCCCAACATGCCATTGGGTGAGAGATGTCGCATTCTCGTCGAAGAAAAACGTCCAAAACAACTCTCAGCAAGGCTTCGAAGAGCTTGGCGATGTTAAGATGATCCAGTTGCAAGAGGGCATAGACCTCCGCTGGATGAGGGTGCTCCAAGGTACGCCAGTCAATTGAACAAAACAAAACAAAACACAATGACATGCGGGTGTTCCACTTCACATGAGCGAGCAACGTGGCTTACCTCATGTTTCCACACATGTATCCTGTCGGTCCTTCTCTACCACTGCCATGAAGGAAGTGCAAAGGGGCAAGGTTGGGAGTTTGGGGCTCACCCTCTTGGCCAGCTTAGTTCAACAGGCTCCTGGGCTAAGGTTCAAATCAACTGGCCATCAAACAGCACACCAAGTGAAAGCTTCTGCGTGTGTTCAAGGAACATTCCATGCACGTGCACACTTTTCTCCAAGAACTGACTTGCCACACCCGTTCAATTCCATCCTTCAACTTTAGCACCCACACGTAGCATTCTAGTCTATACAGTACACGCTTCTCTCCCTCTCGCTGGCCTCATTTGAAACCGTTTGGAGCTCATCTAGGCAGGAGGGCTTTGCAATCACCTTGATCGCTCGCACTTCTCCGCTCATCCTGCCCCGAAGCCATTCGGCCAACGTCAGAAATTCTGACCCATCACTATCGTCGCTGGTCTCTTCGGCTCTGCGAAACAGATCTTTGGGGGGAGGCCGTGTGGCCGTGTGGCTGGCTGTGCGTCCGTGGGGAATGAGTCTGAAGGAATGGATCCAAAGGAATGGATGGATCCAAAGGAATGGATCCAAGTAACAGTCTGTTGGATGAGTGTCCTCCTGACTGGTCGGTCCAGTCAGGCCAACCCGAAGCCGACATGCGGATCAAGCCTGCCGGCTTCGATATCTGTGCTTGTAGAGAGCACTTGCTGAGAGGAATCACGGCATGTGACTATATTGTATTACCTCTCAAATAGTAAGGTCTCCAAGCAACCAGGGAAGCTCATCTGAGGTTCCTTTTGCTCGAGATCTTTGGTTCAGACATGCGCAGGCGGCTTTTGGCCAGGACGCAGCGCCGCAAGCCAGCAAGAAATGGACCTGTTCTCTTTTCATCTCTTTCCCGGTGGTTTGAAACACTCATGTCAATCCAAAGGAATCCACAGAATCACCACTCACTCAAGGCCCAAAGAAGCGGTTTCGTCTTGCGCCCGGCCGTGTTCATGCCTACCTACCCCCCACTTCCCTCGTCCCAAGCCGTCGTCGTCCCAAGTCGTCTCTCTCGTCGTCCTGTGCTTCATGCGAAAGACCTGGCCAAATCCGCCATGTCCCAGTGGTTGAGGCTCGGTGTAGGAGCGATCGAGTCGTCTGGAAGGATCCGGACACAAAAGTAGGGAGTGAATGTCCTGGCGCACGCGTCGCGACGCGGTCGCGGGTCGCGCCAAGTGGAGGCGCCGCCTTAAAGGGGGGACGGTGTTGGATGGCCAAAAGGGCCACTCTTCAGTTGATCTCTAAGGTTGCGAAAGCTCACGTCAGAACCATCTTCTTAGGTCATTGTGCGATTTCACCACTCAGGAGTGTGGCTACCTGCTGCGCTTAGCTGAGCTCAGGAGGGTTAGCTGAGAATTGAGCAAGCACTAGCGGGCCTTTATGACCACACTGGTGACCACACCCCTGATCACCCCTTGATCTCCAGGCCTACCTTGTGCCCTGCGAACTGGTCGAAGTTCCCCCAGTTCCAGTTGTGGTGTGCCCTAAAATCGTGATGACATCGGTCACACTTCAGGTGACCAAGTGTTTGACGCCAGCGACGCATCTTTCTTCTTCGCTGGAATGTTAGCAGTGTTGGCCTCTTGGAACCATACCCCCCAAAAAAAAGACTAGCCATCCAGTCAGAATGGTACAAATCCATGTTCCCCCAACCAAACCGAGCACGAGAACCACTAAGTCACCACTTGCTCCTCAGCTCCATGTTTTTTCTCGGAGGTCCTGGGTCTCCGACTTCCTCTTGCTCAACATCCGATGCCGGATCACTGAGGAGATCAGCTGCCTGAGAAAGACGGAACCTGCTTCTCTTCCCCCACACCCGGCGACTCAAAGGTCTCTCCAAGGTGGACCCCGGGTCATTCCCCGGAGAGTCTCTCTCTGTCTAAAAGGAATCTGACTCAAAAGATGACTCGAAAGCAGCCTTTTTTTTGTCTTTACTTCGGTGGTTCCAAATGCAGTCTACTGGGTCTCTCAAAGGCAAAGGAAACGGTGAACCGGATCACTTGGACGCTTCCATCATGCACCCGATCGTCTTCAAAGACCCTTTAAAGAACGCTTGACCCGGCTTTGTAGTCTAAAAGAAGCCTTATAGATCCTTATAGGGATAACATAAAATAAGTGTTGGATGTTGTTGGAATCCCAGGGTGTTGTATATACGCCTCACGTTGGATCCTCTTCCACCTTTTGTATCAAGGAAGATGTCACTTCAATCACATGTCATCACTTCATGCTGAGCCTTTTTAGGCAGGCTTCTGGGCAACCGAACCAAAGATGAGAGAGCCTTTCTTCTTGGTGGAACAACCGGGAAAAAAAACGAGCCCCAGCTGCAAAAATCTGCGTGTGGCCTCCACCAGGTTGACGTGCCAACCCATGTCATCCCATGTCAAGTTCCAACCTCGCTGGCGACCTTGCCCACGCTATCCCACGCTCACCGTTTGCACCCAAACCGCTGCTGACCGTTTCGCCCGGCGGCGAGGTGGGCTTGCAACTCCGCTGGGGGCTGCGGAGCTGTTCCAGCGCGGTCGTCCAGCAGCCGAGGTTCCAACACGTCATCGCTCGCGGCGCTGCAGCTTTGTGTGGCATGGCTGTGGTCCAGTCGTGAAGGGTTGACCTGTGACAGTTGGGGGATGGGGGGTGTCCGAGCTGGGTGGGGGATGGTCGATGTTGAGGTGGCAGCCGGGCTTTAAAAAGAAAAAGGAAACGCAATTAGTAATTGGAGCCTCTAGTTCTGACATCCTCAATCTAAATTTTATCCTATTTCCCTGCTCTGCTGTGTCGGGTGGCATCTGCCCCATGACCTCCCAAGGGTGCACAAGGATCGCGTCAACGGCAATCACTACCCGAATCTAACCAGACTGAAGGGCTTAGCCTCTAAGGCTCTAAGGCTTCTGGTCGACTGGGTGGAGCTCGGAGAGCCAAAACCCAGAGCAGCGCAGCATGTTTCCATGTCTTGCAGTATGATTGTCATCCTGAAGCACTTTCAGAAACGGCCTACTACCTGGTGTGAGCCTAGAGCACGCCGGAGTCGAGCGATGTCTTCCATGTACTGCCTGAGGTGGTGTCTGCTGTCTGCAGGTCTTGAAGGTTGGGACCTGACAGATTCTGGCAGACTATGTCTGTGTGTTGGGACTGGAATTCCTGCAGATCTCCTGCAGATCTCCTTGGGCCTGCCGTTTTGGTGCGACGCTCCGAACGAAAGGGCGCGTACGCCGCCTACGGTCCTTCTCCGAGGCGGCTGTGAACGCCGCAAAGGAGGCCATATGTTCTGTACAATGACGACTCTCCAAAGAGCATGTTTGTCGAGAACATGAGGCATAAAACACCAAAATTCACCAAGCCTTGCTGAGACCTCTTGAACTTTGGGCCGTTGAGGAACTTCGTTTTGGCGCTCTTCAAGGGAGTCTGGAGAGCATGCAGGAGAAAAACACCAACAACTATGCCCGGGTGCGAATCTCAACATACCTGGGATCTTCCCAGGAACGACCTTCGCAGCCAGCCTGTGCTTAGCAATGCTTCGCATATCTTTATAACATCTCGAGCCCAAGTGGCCCAAGTGCGGAAGGCGCCTTCCAACGGAGGCTGATGTTCTGTACAAATTGCCCCATGGATTGTCCTTCATTCATGAGTGGGTTTCAAAGGCAGCGGGCGAAAACCCATGGAGATCCCAGCCGTCTTGATTCTTCACGCATCTCTCTTTGGCTCTTACTTCTGCTTTTCCTGGAGCCCTTGGTTGCTTTGAGCATCTTTGAGCTGGCATATCCAGAAACCTTGAACAGTTCCTTTGGGCACAGATTTGAAACACACTGAGCTCATTTGGACATGATCTTATTGGGTTGCTCAACCTAACACGTGGCTCCGCAAGGGCGGGGCAAGCCGCGTGGCGGCATGTTTGAGCAACAGCCCCTCAAGCATCCTGAAAGTTCACACGAACAACATGTCAAGAAATCTCTAGAAATTCACACATACGACATATAAAACATCATGAATGGTTGTGCGTAACGGTCCACACCCTAGCTCTAGCTGATCCCCTTCACTGCAGGGGTGGGGAATATCAAGAATCAATCAACTCCGCTGAACATACTCCGCTTCTTTCGTTGGAGCTTTGAGACCCACGGATCTGCGATCGACACCGCAAACTCGCCTAAGGCGAGTAGTTGAACGCAGTCGATATGTCGAGTGCAGCGAACACTCGGTGCTTGGCACGAGCGTCGTGCAAATGCTGAGGATCAGTCATGATCAGGACTGGCAGGACTGGCATTCTGTCTCATCTTCACGAGTCTGTGCCAGTCATCACTAACAAGGTCTGAATGTAGAAATCTTGAATGACATCTGTGGCTCTTCTTCTCTTGATAATCGATTCTCAGCAGGTCTCTGTGGATTGAGCTTAGTAAAGCTGCGATTCCAGAAGAGCTGCGAAGAAGCTCATCACTTCCATCCCAATGCGCCGAACCACCTTCTGAACGAAGACTTGGAACCAGTCCTGGTGGGACCCACCAGGGTGTCGCGCGGTGAAGAGTCCAATGTACGAAATCGCTCGCGAGCGAGCGAAATCGCAGAGAAGCCCCCAGCGCGTCTCGATCTGTGGGGAAGTCTCTGAGCTTCGTTCCACACTTGGTTCACTTCTCTGAGCCAGAAGCCTTCTTTCCCCAAACCCAAACCGCGTCAAACCCCATCGCACTCCCTATATCCACCGCGACCGCCGACCGCGACCGCGTGAGCCCGTCCAGCGTCAAGCCTGCCGTGATACGCAGGCCTTGACCCGGCATGTCACCTAAGCCGGAGAGGGCCGAGAGGCGCCTGAGAGGCGGTCGAAGGACCGACAACGAGGCGGAGGTCCGAAGGGAAGACGCGGCCGTGCTGTCGAAGCAGCGACGAGTCGAAGCTGAGTGCAGTTGAAGGTTCATGAGTGGACATGAAAGACGGCTGAGCTGCTTTACAGAAAGGATGGATCACTCTGGGGAAAAAGCACCAGTGGCTGGTCTTTAGACAAAACCAACCAAACAGACCCTCCCGGCTTTCGTTCCATGTTGGCCTTGGAAAAACCACCATCCCTCCATTCAACGCGGGTTCAACAGACCCGCCCCCAAGGTGCATTGCAGTTGGATGGTGTCGTCGAAGAGCGACTCGAAGATCCGTTCTGAGCGGTGAGCGCGGCGGCTCCGAGGCGCCGGGAAGGTCCTGTTCCATCGATCCCGGGTGAATGGAGACCCGGACCATCAACCCCACCATCTGAAGAGGAAAGTCCTCTTCATATGGGGGGGGTGTACTAATCAAGAGTCTACATTGATGGATAATTTCAAAACAATGATTAACATAATTTGATGGATGATGTGTATCTAGCAGCTAGTGCAACAGCTGGGAAGTTGAGGATGGTGCTCAATTCATTATGCCCATCGAATACGTGTCTTCAGCGCATGTCTTTAGGGCTCATCATGCCGCCAAGAAATTGACCCTGCAGCATCTGCTCAGCTTTTGTGGCGACCAAATGAATCACTACTCTCCCTGGACTTCACATGGAAGTGGAGAGAGTTCCACCCAGTGGACTGCTTAGCTCAGTCTTTCGGGGCCCCAAAACAATGGCATCCACGGAATTCCCGGCCACGGGGCTGAAGCGGCGGAACCTCTTCCGAAAGCCAGGGAGGATGTGCTTGGAGTCCTCCATGAAGCGTGACAGATCCGGGTTCCGAATGAAGACCTCCAGCACTTGGGTCGTGGGAGAGGGTGTTGAAGTTCCCGTCTGGCACTCAGTTGGCTTCAGATTCTAGGAAGGTCCACCTTTGTCCACATCCAACCAGCCTGGTCACTCGGTGTGTTTTGATTCCAGGCTTTTGCAGTGAACCATCACTTCATCCCAGGTCATGGCAACTGCACCTGGAAGCTCCACTACCTACGTTCCTCAAAAGTGATCACATCACACACATCATCCTGTTCAAGTTCACGAATGCTGCGGGTACCTCAGAAGCTATAAGATGCTATAAGCTATATGCACATGGTTCTTCCAAGTGACAATGCCAGCACCACCATTTAGACCACCTGCTTCGACGATTTTGTATATGCAAGTGTTGTTTATTCAAAGAGTGTGCGGCATGGGAATGTCCCAAGGATTCCATGATTTTCTCCGCTGTGGACACTTTCAGCAGCTGAGGCACGAAACGACCCTTGGAGTAGCCAGAGGCATAGAGCCGGAAGACCTCGCGGGTCACTGTTACCAGTGGTTCGTGCTGCTTTCAACCCAACGAACAATTCCATCTGCAGGACAGACTTGCCAAACAGTATGCCCTGGGACATGGCCAATAAAACCCTCCCAAAATAATCCAAAATCATTCATCATCATGTTGATGGATGTCCATCCATCTTCACCAAGGGCCCCAACAGACCCCAACAAATACACCTCGCCCGTGAAAATGGAAGTTGTCGACTGACTGCTCTCGCCCCCCTCTCTCACCTGCTTCACGAGGGACTGAAAATCGCCCGGAGGACCAGGAGTCTCCTGCGGAGTGCGAGCGTGGGCCATCATTCCACACCGTCAAAAAATGACTCTCCTTGCAATCATGAAAGTGGTGCTCAACCCCTCTTGCTAGAGGAAAAGCATCTTCCAAGGGGCCAGAAGGTCCACTTCCATGATTGGCGGGGGTTCAATATATTACACTTATGTATTTATATATATATATATTATATCTGTGTGTGATGTTTCAATACCACATCAAAAGCGAACCCACTGTCTTACAGGGACGTGTTGGGATCTCTCTCACTCTGACATCTAAATATCATATATATATATATGTAATTGTATGTATATCGCTTCATTGCTGAGCGCATCTCGCCCCATACGGTGCAAACCATGCCGATGCTCACCTCAATGCTCACCTCTTCCTCCAAGTCGGAGTCGGCCTGAATGCCCTGGCGTTGGTTCAGAGCTGCCAAGTCAACCAGGACTCCAGCGAATCTGAAGTGATCAAAAAAGGCTCCAAAAACACTTATGACAGTCTCTTTATCTTTTTCAGGGAGTCTAGCTTTCCAGTGTTCACAGGCACAAATGAGCTCTGCAAAATACATGTGATAAAACCCCTATGTCGCTCCTGCTTACGCTTTTCTTACGCGACCACAATGCGAGTTTGCGCGCGAAGGGTTTTTGAGAAGACCTTAAGCAGATCTTACGCATCTGCGTTGAGCACACATGAGAACCATACCCCCAAGGGAAATGCCTACGCGACAGTTCCTTTTGCAGATGAGCTGGCGATAGGCACATGATCAACATGTTCCGATGACGAAGACGATGAAAATGAAAAGGATGTATACAACCTTCAGTTGGCTGGCTAGCAGCTTCTTGACTCGTCAGTGCTGTGGCTTGTCGCCTTCTCTTGGCATAGGTCTAAGCACCCTTGGGAAAGGTTCATCCTTTGCTACTGACCTGCAAATGCAAGTTCCCAAGGGTGTCAAACCTCTCATGATCCCTGAAGTTCCTTTCTTGACGGGGAGGTGTGTACTAGTCTTATACGTGTGAAAATACGACCCTATGCAAAGCTCACGCAACATGCATGTTTCACAACTCCCTTACACAACTTACCTTACGCTTTTCAGGGCATAGTTCATCTTGGGAGGTTTCTTGCGGTGCCCCAAATGGCGAGCAGGTGCATCTGGAGCTGCTGAGCTCGTTTCACACCAACGCCACAAATGCCCGGGGGGGCAGGGGAGACGAACTTTTGAGTTGGTTCCAACAGCAACGGAACCATACGGAACCAATGGACCCAAGCACTTGGCCGTGGACGTTTAGCTTGGGCCAAGCCACATGGCAAAGTTAGCCTCCCCTTTCCGTGACTTGAGCATACTCAAACCAAATGAGAACATGAATCGTTCCTGACACCCTTCAACATGCCCCAGCCTGCGAGGTGGTTTGGAGACCAATGCTGGTCACGGCCTCGAAGTCCAACGGTGCAATGTAATTATTGGCTTTTCCTGCAACTATAGGGCCTATAGGGATGAAGGCATGCAGGAAGGGCCTACCACCCAAATGGGTAGAATGTCTGCTTGTGTCACACTGTGTGGTTTGCCCCTTTCTGCTCCAAAAAGCATCGATTGTATGACCCCTTTACAACAAGTGCTCTGTTGTTCAATGTTTATGACCGTGTTGGTTTAACATGCACAGGGGGGCCGATTTGGACTCCACCGAACACGTCACCTCAAAAGCCACAGAATGTGTCCGGCCTTTACCCTCCAAATCCCAACATCACAACAGCCCACCACGAGTTGTTCATGAAATCTTGCATGTTTCATCATCCATGGGTTTGCCACCATGGGTGAAACCCACACCCCATGGTGAAACCCACACCTGCCTGCCAAGTCGCCACGGTCGTTTCGACCTTTGCATCGTCCGGCAGACCCTCGTCGACAGCCGAATCCTTGGGCTCCTCGTGTCCTGGTGACGAGGAGCAACTCGGAGCAGCTCAACACGAAACCGGGCACCGCCAGTCAGCGCCCAGTGCCCTCCATAAACCCTCTTCAGATGATCATGGCCTCCACGATCAAAAAGACCTTCGAAAAAACGCCGGAGGAATTCGTTCTCGTCAGAACTGCACAGTGGCCTCCCAGGACTCCCCGGTCAGGCTGACCAGTTTCCTCTGCGTCTATGACTCATCTGCGAATCCCGTGGAACACCCGAAGCTTCGAGCCCAAACGGGTCCTATGTAAGCATCCAGTGGAATGCTCGGCTCGCCGCGACCGTCTCCATCCCGCAAAGCATCTGGCGAGACAGCCCCCTGGGCTCCGCGAACAAGAGTGGCATAGCCAGGGGTGAGGTGGTTTACAAGGCCTGCAGCAGGAAGGCGCTGCCAAAGAGCCCCCACTATGAAACCAAGCGGGAGAAATGCTCAGGATCTTCCTAAAATCACCCAGTGGAAGAACATATAGGATATTAAACAAAAAGGATTAATTCCTTAGGAACAAGCTACTGCCAGGCACCAACAAAAGTGCACTTTTCGACATCTGTCAACTCGTCACTAGGTCGTCCCAAGTGAAAGCTCTACACTCTGCCAAAAAGGGCCATCTCTACGAGTCCGGAGCATTTCGGGCATCTCTACGAGTCCGCAGCAAGGGGACGCTACGAGTAAGGGGCTCCTAGCATTTACTACGAACGGAACAAGGGCGCGACGAAGCGAACGTCCCGACCACGACTACGATCGCCATGACCTGCTTCACCCAGGCGCGGTGGCCCCTCCGTCGGTCTTCGCACGCGCTTCACCGTGCGAAGAAGACCTGAATCCACCGATCGGATGGGAAGCTGATTGAGTTGACAGGTCTTGCCATGGTCATTGACAGTCCATAACACTATAAGTGCAGGTTGATGATGGTTGATGTGATCTGTTTCTTCTTTTCTGACACTTCCCTCTGAAATGCTTCTGGGTCGAAGGGAATCCGTCCAAAAGCGCGGAGTCAGGCCGTGCACACATCTCGAGAATCAGACTCTCACTGGTCAACTGACCAAATCCGGAAAAAAAGAGTTGAAAAAACAGGCTCCTCCTCAACCTGCTAAGAAGAGCTACACGGACCCCCCACAAGCCGAGCAACCCATCCTCTGTCCCACGTGACCCGTCATCTCCGCGGGCACTCCCAGCGCCGAGATCGCCGGTCCCACCGGCACTCCCAGCGCCGAGATCGCCGCCGGAACTCCGACCTGTACAGGGCAGGAATGGATGTGCCTTCGAAAGGGGGGACCACCAACCGGTTCCCTAGGGTTCCAACCACCATTAATTTAATACGTAGGCTTTACCGAATCAACTAAGGATTTGGGACTACAAAAACCAGGTCAACCATTGTTTTAAAGGTCTTGGAAGTCTAGGGGGTTTGGACAGGTCGGAGGATGGGTTGCCCATCAACCATTGGTGACCATGACCATGATCACCACCAGCCGATGATCACCAATGGTTTTGCGGCTTGGCGGCGGTCACGAATGCCCGTAAGGATTGGGCATCACTGTCCACTGGGCAAATAGGAACGTGAGAACCACAGAAACGCCGAGAATCACCAACCAACCAATGCGCAACCGGTTTGAAATTGATCTTGCGAACCGACACCGGGTCGGAACACCGAGGGTCTCTCGACCTATTTGAGCTACCGAACGGAACAGGCGGAAACGGGTGCTTGGTAGGTAGCGCCAGCTCGCTGGCCGCACAACTCAACCCCCTGCAACACACCAAAAATATAGGAAAAAAAACAAAGCAAAAGCAACTCAGCCTGTAGCCGAAGTAGTCGTCGTGCCAGTGCTACTTGTCTCCTTGGTGCTTCTGCCCATCTCCCCAAGACCAGCGCTTCCCGCTGCATCGGCCCCACCGCGCGCAGCGCTCCCGCCGCCCGCGGTCTCGTGGGCATCTGCGCCCGGACCTCTGGTGCCCTCCTCAGCATGAACAGCCCACGTGACAGGAGACGAATGGATAAACTACGGAGGTGAATATCGGTGATTTTTGTCCTTGCAGTCCCATACATTCGCAGGAGACAGGAGGGGGTCTGGCATCTTCTGCTGAGAAGTCGTTCTGGCGTGAACGCAGCGCCGAGCTGCGTTCAGCTCGCGCGAACGAAGCGCTCAAGGGGTCGGGCAGGAACTGGCAAGAACCCTCCATCAGGGCCTTCATATTCCTAACCTGCTCCAACCGCATCCTTTCTGCATTCTAACATATTCTAACCACGATTACACGGGGTTCTGAGATGGAATCCTCCCTCAACAACCACCAGAATCTAAAGAAAATGGACCCCTTGTTTGCCCGTCTTTGCCTCTGCATCTGTTCATCAAAACCTAAAACCTGGCATTGAAAAACAGAAAGCATGCAGCATTTGGGCCTCCACACACCTCGCTTCAAAACTCCTCACGCTTCCAAAAAGAGGTGGCTCGCCGTCGGAATGCTGTCGGATGCGGTTGGTGCGTCCCACCAAATTGAGGGGGGCCCAACCAATAGAATTGAGACTGCATGGTTTAGATCCACCATGATCCACCTATCCTGAGAACTCTATCGGCCGGGCGCCGCTCCGTCTGACAGCGGTACCGCTCATCGCTCATCAGCTGTGTCCTCCCCCCACTGAGGCCCTGACCGTCGCCGTAGACCTGACGTCGTGCTCCGGGCTCCGCATGGCTCCGTGGCCAACAGCGAACGGCGAACGTCGCAGGAAGGGGTCATCAGGGGCTTTTTGTGGTTGGACTCTCGACACACACACACACACAAAAGATAAAAACCAAGGACTTCCCCAATTCTGTTGTCATGAAAAAAGTCTACTCATGTCTATTCCTCTGTCTTACCAGCCACGAGCAAAACGATCCACTTGGCCTGGACTTCTCTTTCTCATCTGCACCGTTGGCCTTCGCGGCATCCTGAGCAAAAGGCTGGGTGAACTCAAGGACTCTCGATCGCAGCTCTCCCCGAAGGCTCGACCCATCCAGAACGGAGTCCATCCGAATGCTGCACACCGCAAGCCCTATGGGGTCTGGATGTTCAACGACAGTGACATGACGGGTGGGCGCGAAAAAAAAGAAAGCGCCCAAGACCCTCATGAACTCATGCGCCCAAGAGCCACAAGAGGTCTTTTCTTTGCACGTGGTCCCCTCAGCTTCTACCTCTCCCAATTGTACATACCAACAGCAGTTATCGATCAAAGTGAGAGCAACAAGATGTTCGACCCAACCTCTGAGAAAGCGTCCCAACCGGACCAAGAGTCTTCTTGCCCAGTGTCACCATGTAAGCCACCCCGCCTGGCTGGCAAATGAGCAAGTGACTAGATAACAACCTCGAATTGGTTACGTTGGTCGATCGACTAATCCTGCAGGGTACCAACGCTGCCGTATGCTGCCGTCTCCTGCGGAGGGACGGTGCTTCTCAGCTGTAGCTGCTCATTTCTCTCCCTTCCGGGAGCTGCAAATGTGTATTTTCTGCGCATCTCCATCTGGCCTATCTTGCGCCACCTTATGGCCGCATAGAGTTGTTGTTTCTACATGTTTCTGCATGTCTCGACAACCCAATTAGGCCCTGAAGTTGCACCAAAGTCCGGAACCCTGCCCTTTTCTGTCGACAGATGTGGTCAATTGGTCAGTGGTGCTAAGAAAATGCATAAAATCTAGTCTATACAACTTGTCCATCACCGATCATTCTCGATCATTCTCGATCATTGACATCTAAGTGCAAATCCATCCTTTCCCCCGATCTTTGACAACAGTTCCCTCAAATACCGTCATTAAGCCACTCACATGCCCCAAAAGCAGCCACCCCCCTCCGACCCGCCTGGCTTTCCGAAGGCCCTTGAGCCCCTCGTCCCCCTCGCCCGGGTCCGGCGTCGGGGCGCGACCGAAGCCGGGTCCGGAGGGCGCGAAGCCGGGGTCGACGGTGGAGTCGGTGGCCTGGCGAAAAGCCGTGCGAGACGAACGAGGCCAACCGTTGGTTACGGACGGATGCGAGCTGCTCTGTGGAGGCCATCGCAAGTAGGCCATCGCTACGAACGGAACGAGGACGCTAGTAACAACGGAGTCAGCCTCGTTCTGCCTCGCGGCTTCGGCAGAGTCGCCCGCCGCAGCTGCCCGCCGACGCTTCGCGTCCTCATCCTGGTCCTCGTGGTCCTCGTCTCGCCGGAGCAGGCGGCGCTGGGCGTCCTGGGCGAAGAAGTTGTGCGACCCTGTGGAAATGGACCCCTGGAAGGAGCTCGAAAGGAAATCTTTAAGGACAAACCCTGAACTACCAAGTATTTCCCCAGTCCTGTTTCATGCCAACACCGGGACAATGTTACATTGGATTTGTGCTCTTTGACGCCTGGCTGCCTAGCTGCTGGAAAGGCTATTCATGTGGCAGAACGCTGACCATCTCTGACGATGGGCAAACCCGAATTGTTGTCTTTTGACGGTCCACACCGTAGCTGCTTAGCTCATCCCCTTAACTGCAGCAGTCGGTGGTGGTGTTGCACCCGGAGATTGAATCCACATAGCGGCCCCCTGAATAAACCCGAATTTATGGTCCGCGCCGCTTGTAGCACCCCTCAGTTGCTGTCATGACTCTGCATCCAAGTGTGGAGCTCGACGGCCCTGGGCCAGCAAAACACAGGATGAGGCAACTAAGTAAGGATGTTGTCCTTTCATGGCTGGCCTTGGAGGTTCTTGGATGTGCTGCTGAGGGAAGGTGACTAAACAGGAATCACTCAAGTCTGGCAAGGCGCGGCATCTTCTTCATCTGATGTGCCATCATCTCCATCCTGAGGGCCATGGAGATAGTGGATTCTTCTTCTTATTATTCTTCTTTTGACCAGACAAAAAATAGCCAATCATTATTTCCTTTCGATGTGCATAGTATTTTAGTAGTCTATCAGTCTATCCTTTTCAATTAGTGATTTAATGTCATAATAAAAAAGAACCATAAAGTGATGAATGATCCATAAAGAATAATATAAAAAAGAAAGAGATATCTATAGTCATAGTCTTCACATGTCTTCACCATGTGCGGCAGCCTTGGCAACCCTCCGGTACCAACCCAGCTACCACGGCCCCAGCTACGCATCTAGCATGGCAACCGGCCCTCCAAGTGGAGCACGGGTTCACTCTTGGCCATTCTCTCGCTCAGGTCTTACACCTTTCTAGTGTGCATCATACGTGGCACGGCATGGAACTCGTTCGGCCACCATGAAATCCGAAAAACGCTCCTTTCGAGGTGACCGTCGGTAGTGGTGCTCCCTCACTCCACATTCCAGGTGCGTACCTTGGAGCCTGCATTCCGCTCGTGGAGACCATCTCCAGGAAGGGCATCCTGATCCAAAAGAAGCACGGTTCTTCTTTCATTTCAGCTCCAGTCGTACCTCCTCAGAAGGTATGACTGGACCCTCTAAAACCACCAGAATGCCCCTAAGGATCCCGAAGGTTTGTTTATCATTCTTATCACTTTTGATTCATTGGGTGGCGGAGCCCAGCCTGGATGACATGACGATAGACCATGAATTTTGGTGCCTCCAGGCCCTCCCAGGTTTCCCTGGTACACTTAGAGGGCTGTGACCCATGTTCCCCACATCCTGTCACATGCTCATCACCCTCAAAACCTGCAGAGCAGGGATGAGTAGAAGCGGCTTGATCATGGCCAGGCACGCACGCGCTGGTTGCCCTCCTGTCCACGAACGCCCTCACGCGGCAAATGTAGCTGCGAACGGCCTCCCCTGCTTGCACTCATGACAGAGGTCCACCTAGCTCTCGAGATCGCAGACTCTCTTCTCACAAGGCACCCAGCAAGCACCAGTAGCCCATGGTCTTGCTGTCATCCACACAACGTGTGGGTGGCCTCTATGACGCCTCGACTTGTCCGGAAGCCACATTTTGGTGCCATGGAGCTCCCATGGTGCTCCCCACACCCGGCCAGTGGTGTGACCGCAGAACTCTGAGCTCGCAGTGGGGTAGAGCGGTCGGTGTTCCAGCGAAGCGGAGCAACCGCGGGAGGTCGCGACGAGCACGGGAGTAGCCCAAGAGGGTTGCCACGATTGTTGTGACAAACAACCAACCTGGCATGCCCGGGCCATGCCCCTGAAAAGGGCGCAACCGTGCAATCTTCGAAACCAGGCCCCTCTCTGACGTCGACACATAGAAAGAAATCAAAGAAATCCACTAGAAGCAGAAACATGGATGGAGACAGCAAAACCTTCCTCAACGTCTCAACGTTGTTTAAAACAAGTGAAGCAACACGGCTTGCACACCAGAAGTACAATGTTGAAACCGAGGTGAAAATGGAGCCACTTCTTCTTCTTCTTCTTCTTCTTCTTCTTCTTCTTCTTCTTCTTCTTCACATGCTCGAAGGTGCATTCATCCGGTGCCCGATGGGGTGAGCAGTTCATCCTTCCTGTCGCGTCCAGGCACACAGCATCACAACCTGCACGTCCAATGAAGCCTGCGGGACACCGCATGGATGGGAGGGATAGTCTACGGCCCCACGGCCCCACACTAAACGGCCCCAGGCCACAAGGCCACGACCGCAGTTCGAAGAGTCTGCAGTCCCAGTGGCCGGCAGGGGCTGGGTAATCACGCAGTTCCGGCGTTGAAAGTAGAACATTCCATCTGAGGAAGCCTCCCGGCGCGGGAAGGGCGAAGTGCCAGCGGAGATATTGCAAGAGTGAGGTCCAGCAAACATGGACCGTTGTTACAGGTGATCTAGAACCTGGCAACACCTAGGACCTCGAGGTGTGGGCCCCACCCATGCTGTTTAACCATCTTTGGTCTTCGTCCAGACTCTTTCTAAAAGTCTAGAGGTTCTTGTCCAAAAGCTGCAGCTTGCAACTGCTCAACACCTGGACTTCACCGACCCAAAACTGTACCAATGGATTGGCTGCCGACCCAAGAACCTGTGACACATCCTCTTCCACACATCCAATCTCTCTGGACCCATCTCTCGACAGCCTGGACGATTTGAGAGCCTACAGGGGCAAGGAAACCCGCAGGTTTCACCTTTTCTGTTGTGACCCAGCACCTTCAAACATCTCTAGGAAGCCCCCAGCGCACCGCCAAACACGGCCGCCGGTGCGGCCTTGGCATCTTCTTTGGGAACTTCCAGCTTCGGTGCCTTTAGATGTTCCAGGACTTCTTTCGTGGAACCGTCTATCTCCTCAGCTCGGTCACAGCTGGATTTCGATCGATCCCGTGGATTTGGTCAAACGAGGTGAACTTCAGAATCAGCCGGTTTTCACATCGTTTGACCAAATCCATCAAAACGGCTCAGAAAATGCGCAGAACATGATTTTTAAGTCTCAGTGTCCACGCGATCCTCCTCCAGAAGATGTGCAGCTGTGCGGTTCAAATACCTCGGGGTGACCCGCCGCGCGATTCATGCGCGGCTTTCATCCACGATCCATTTCCATAGGTTGCTCATCTGCATAGAGCTGCTATGTGACGCTATGGAGTCGTTGGAATCGCTGGAAGGCTGGAAGATCTGTGGAGTCCAAGACTGACCACTTTCTTCAGTTCGATGCAACTAACTCACTAAGACTTCACCGATCCAGCCCACCCACCCCCCAAGTCAATGCACCTGAAAACGCCTCGCACTCACGACATGGAGCCACGTGATTAGAGCCTCCTCCCTCTCCCTTTCGACCCTGAGGAGGAGCGGCTTCTTGAAAAAAGGACTTCCACGCGGGCAGCGTCAGCGCGCCAATCGGCTTCCTGGGCGCATCCGTCCGGCGACGGGTGCGAGGCGTGAAAGTCACTGAGTCACTGGGATGTGGGGTGGAAGCATCGAGAGCAGGGCCAGGTGCACCCCAGTGTGCAGGTCCTCCCAACAGTGTGATGACCCACTTTCGACATTCTTTGGGATGGAGGCTGTCAACTTAACTCCATCTAACTCATGTAGACGTTGGCTCCCGTATCTGGAGATGTAAAACCATTCTGCTAGCTAGGGAGGTGTTATTATGTGTTATTCATCAGTCTAAATTCACTACATTGCATAATTGGTTTGCAAAGGAACTCGAGCGATGAAAAAAACATATTCTTCTCCAGGCTTCTTAGAGGCCCGGCTGACGAGGCTGAACAGCTTAGATGCTGCGATGCCACATCTGGGCGGCTGTGGGGGGGGCTGTGAAAGGCTTCGGTGCTTCAGTGAGATGTTTCAAGGGCACTGTAATCAGTCCAGAGTCCACCGCAGTTTGACATGTGTGTCTGGTGGCGTGCGCGAGGAACACCAAATGTTATCTGAACAAAGTGATCGATTCCTTGTTTGGTTAAGGATGGTTGAGGGTTGTTTGAAGGTCTCTATAGTGGACCTACAAAGCCCGAGGCCAAGTGTGGCTACCCAATGAATCTCCGCCAAGCAACATCTCCTGTGTATCCCAGCCTCTCGCGTTCCTCATCAATTTCATGGCGAGGAAGCCACCATCAAGGAGATGCAACCACAACTACGGAAAGAGACAACAATTGTAACAAATCAAAGAAATGGATAGACATGATATGACTGACATAATACACACGGTAAAAGGCAGCACTCCAAGATTTCCCAATCACCCCCATTGGAGGGCACAACGCGACAGGCCGAACTGTCCCTTCGCGCCTCTCTACCCCAAACACACCGCATCGAAGTCCGACACATCCGTTTAGCTGCTGCACCATGCCGTGCTCAATGCTGAACCCACCCCACAACAAGTGACTGGCACTCGTTATGGCACAAGTTCTGGCACTCGATTGCCACACATACACACATCCGGGCGCAAAAACAGAAAAAAACACGTCAAACCCAAATTCCCTGCGCTTCCTCTGTTTTCGGGCCTTCGCGCCCACCCCGTCCAAGCATCAGGGCCGCATCCCACTGCGCCCTCGTGATCTCCTCGCGTCCGTGGTGATCGAATTCCTCGAAGGCGGCGGTTAGGGAGCCGAAGGTCTCCACGAGCAACTTGGCAAAGGTCTCGATGTTCTCCTGCATGGAGCGAGCGGATGTGACAGCGGCCTGGTGACAGCGCCTGGTGCTGCGTGCTTTTCGCATGCGCCACGCAGGCGAACGCAGGCAGTGAGCTGTGGCTGTGCAGCGTTTTTTGGGGGAGAGCTTTTCTGGAGCCTGCGGGCTGCCCCAGGAATGTGTGAAACATGAAGTATGCCTAAAGAAATCCAGTAAAGTGCGATGGCCAAACATGAAAACCACTTGCAACAGCAACTGGTGCTTTGGAGGAACTCGTCTCCTCCAGTTCCGGCTCCACCGTTGGTCGCGCTGCCAACGCATTGATCGCGCGTCGCGCGTGGTTGGCCAGGCGCTTGGTGTCGCCGGTATTCTCCACACCGAGCGCCGGTTGAGTGGCCGCCATGTCCTCTTTGGCCTGGGCTGCGCAGGCCACGGCCAACGCTGTTGCCACTTCATGGGAGAATGGTTTTTGGATTCCTGGGGCCTCGGATGGTCAGAGAAGGGCTCAGATTCTGACGGAAAAAAGCCCTTTCGGGAAGATCTTTCCCAACCGGAGAAAAGCTACAGAAGTAGAAGTCTGCCTTCCGGTATATCTTCCCATAGCCAAAACCTCTGAATCCCTTCTCACAAGCTATGAGCCTACCCGGGCTTTTGCCACCATGAGCCCCCGGCCTTCTGCGCCAACTGCTTCCATCCTCAGATCCAAGCACATCGTATACGTGGGGCGGTCTCCAGGCCTTACAGCCTCTTAGACTTGGTAGGCTTGGTGAGTCAGCCTGTCTAATCATCTGACGCAAACCCAGTATACATATCCAAGAGAGGTTGACGGTTGAACGGCCTTTTTTCGCCCATCCCATATGTACCACTACAGGCTCCTATAAGGTCTCTCAACCTCTCTTGGATGTATAGACTATGTAGATGTCAGCTCTAGGTTTTGCACGTGTTGAGCCATGTCATGGGCATATGGAAACGGTCCAACGGAACTTCCAGCGAGGAGTGCACCAGACTGGCATTTCTGATGGTTTCTCGGATTCGCACTGTGCAATCGAGCGCCCCGATCCTCCACACAGAGTATCACAGATTGGCTAAGACTTGAGAGTGCATGTTGTGACGCAAGTGACCGCGAGAGAAGGCCATTCCGCCAACCTCTACTAAAACGAATATAGGCCTGGGACTAGGCCTAGGTGTCCTGGAAAACACACATCGTTTCCCGGAAAAAGCTCGATGTCCGGAGGATTGCAAGCCTGGTTCCCTCAAATCGTCAAACCATGTTTGTTGCCAATAGGGTTGTTTTGGATGAAACAACAAAAGCCTGCCAACCCATATCATTTCACGCACACGCACTCCTTCTAAGAAAAAATCAGGCACATCGAGACATGTCTTCATGCAACGTGGTCCGAAACCATCACTCCAATTGGAGGGAGGTCTTCGGCAGCAAGATGCACCTTCATCTCTCACCCTTGAAGCCTCGCGATCTTTTTCTCGTGCCTTGACGCCTCGAGTCATCGAACTCAGCGCGCGGCGTCATGAAACCGAGCAGCTCGGCTGGCTGGTCACCGCTGGCTGGCTGCTCGCCGCAAAGCCCATCTCCGACACCGTTTGGTCCAAGGAGGGCGTCGTCTCCGATGCCTGGGACGGATCTGCAGCTGATCGACCCGAGTCACTGAGCATCGCCACCCTCAGATGAGGTCGTCTCATCACATCTCTCCCATCGCCGAGACTCTAAGACAAGGTCCTGTCACACAGTTTCACAAGGATCATCACGCTTTTTGCCCTGCGATGTCCATCCCCCCCTCCTTTTCTCCCCCCTTCCGCTTCCCAGCAGTTTCCGGCAGTTTCCAGCATCTTAGCCCTTTCAGCCCACCTGGGATTGTGTGAGGTTCAGGGCCGGTAAGGTGACCTCCTCATTGGGTCGCGGCGTCTCCGAGGCCGCGCGCGCGCCCAGCCCGCGGCCACCGCCGTCGAGGCTGGGGAGGATGGACTGGAAGCCCTGCGATGGGTCCGATGGGTGTGGGGTCGAGTCGAGTCGCTAGGTCCAGTGATGTCCAGTGCCATGGGGGTGATGCCAGGGTTGATCGGGATGCCATGGTTCTTTCTGGAAGCGTAGCAAGCGGGCTGCCAGGTTGCTGGTGTCGTGCGGGTGTCGTGCGATGGTGGCTCCACATCCCTTGCTGTCCGGTGGATCATTGCAGTGACGGACAGACCTGGACCATTCAAAGGAGAAACCGAGAGCCGTGGCTTTCTGAAAGGGAGCCTGTTGAACTTCACCCACTTCATGGGCCATGGGTGAGCATTCCTGGCTTGCAGGTTTAGGGTCATAGGAATCCAACCCTAAGGCACGTGACCACGTTTTTGGGCAAAAACTCCTACGTCCAAACACCTCTCCGTGGCCGTCCCCGATTCGGTCGGAGAACTCGACTGCCTGGGCCGCACCGATGGTCGAGGCCAAGACCTTCTTGGCACTCGCCTGCGGGCGATCCATCAACCCCCCTAGGATTCCAAGATCCAGTGCTTCACTGGTCTGTTTAGCAAAGATTACTACATCACCAATCTCCCAATCAGTGCTACTCGAGACTGCACTCCTTTTTCCTGCTCTCGGCTGACATTTCCTTGCGATCCTCACGGGGGGTCCTGTCACCTAGGTGGATCCTGGGTGGGACAGAAATTGTCCTGTCCAATTTTGGCTCTTGAGCCAAAATATGACATGGGAGTTGTGATGATGTGCACCCAAGCCTGCCCAAAGCTCTACACAACAATAAAACCAGGTCAACCATTCTTTTCATAAATCTCTTAAATGATCTTTAATGGTCTTTGAAGACCAGGTTCACTCCAAGAAGCACCGGACACCGAAGACACCCTCAAGGGCCTGAGGGGCCTCACAAGGGGCCCTATGGGCCTGGGGACACTGGTCGACTTCGCCACCGAGTGGTGCGAGACTCGCGGAGAGGCGCGAGGACGCGGAAGCGAAGGGTTTCATGATTTTCGACTCCGAAGATCTGCCAGGTGATCTGACAGAATTGGAGGCTACAAGGGGTTCCTGGCCTTACTACTAGGAACAAGAAGCTACTAGGGGCTCCTGGCCTTACTACTAGTTACTAGTAGCAAGGACGCTACTAGGGACAGAATTGGAGATGTGACATGATGGATCCACGATGGATCCACAACGTCCGTCTTGTGATCAACTCCCCGCTCCGCCAGCTCTGCCGCCGACCTTCTGCGCCACCAATGAATTCACTTGTTTCTTGAAGTCGCCTGGGCCGCTGGTTGCATGGCAGGTACGCACAAAACGGCTGGTGACATGAATGAGTGGGTCGAAACCTAGAGTTCCAAGCCCTGCCTAGTCGTTGACCTCCCTGCTAGTCTAAGAGTCTGTTATGTTAAATCAAGGTTAAACATAATAGGTTTATCATTTTGCCCGGGTCCCCCTATTGTTCTGACCTGCCGTATGACCTTCCTTTCAATCAGAAACGAGAAAGCCACCGGTCCTGATGGTCCTATGATGTCCTATGCCCACCATCTCCGTCACACACGTCCAAGTCGCCGATGAGCGCCATCGCCGCATGGCAGAGCGTCTCCGGCCGCCGTGGGCGTGGGCCGGGCGGGAGAGGAAGGGGAGTCTCCGCCCCAGAAAGCCCCCCCCCAAAATCCTAGAACCACTTGGTCCCCAATGCGGAAAGAAGAGCCGGCTTCGAAGAAGAGCTAAGGTTTCTCTTTCCAGTGACGGAACGCCTGCGCTCCAAGAGAGCCATCGAAAAGGCCAACTTAGCGTCCTTGGCATCTTTTGAGCCCTCTGATATCACCTGATCCTCCTCAAGTTCGTCTGGACCTGAACGAACCCGGACTTCAACCACCGCAGCGCGCGCGCGATGGATCTAAGCCCCTGCTCGAGCCGGGAAAGGACGCCAGCGCGCGTAAGTGAGAAACCGGATATGATTCCGGGTGGCATGCACAAAAGCCAAGGTTCACCTATAGTTACTTAGTTGCTTCAGTAGCAACAGCAGGTGAGGTTAACACTCCGTGGAATGATCATGGAAGTGGAAAGTGGCCCCTTGGATGACCATTGTCCTCGACAAATGCGTAGTTTTCCATGATGCTTCCGGGGAGTGGAGCTCTGTCCACGGTCCACGTCCAACAGTCCAATAGCTCAGTAGTTGCCCAAGCTTTAAGAGCGTCATGCCAACAGCGCCTCTGGTTATATCAACTTAACCATTTTCAGGTGCCGTCTTCATACTGTCCCTCCAACAATCGTGGAAGTGGATCACCCCATGTTAGTAGAGCAAAGCTGCCTTCCAAGGGGCTGTGGTCCACTTCCATGTTTGTTGGAGAGAGGGGGGTCACATCTATTTTTGCCGCTGACAGGTGTCTCCCACATCCCACATCCGCGACTTGTGAGGCTTGCTCTTGGTTGTCCACACCCAACAAGGAAAAAATACAAAACACTCAACCTCAACCAGTTTGGTGAAGCAACTCATGCACCGTTTCCTTTGCAGAAAGGTCACCCGGCCTGAGGCGCCCAGCACCAACGCGCAATTCCGAAGTGTGAGGCCGAAAGGTTGCTATGTTCAGCTTTGGTTCCCACAAAGCATGCCTAGAAAAACCATCTAGGACCTAGGAAAACCAGATTCGGTGGGACTTTGGGGACTTAAACGAGCACGTGACAAATAGTGTTATTTTACTTATTCCGTGAAACTGAAGGTTGCATCATATCATTCAACATCAGTTCTCTCAAGAAGTCCCACCCAGCTTACCATTCCGTACCCCCAGCTCGTCTCAGCTGCCGACATTCGGGACCGCTGCCTCGACCAGGCGTCTACTAGACGTGGCCATGGGACGGGGGGTTTCACAAAGAGAACAGAGTGGCCTCAGTCCAAAGGAAGACAACATCCATATGATATATGCTGCACCAGCGAAGTCAAGGATGTTCCTTTTTGGGTCATCTATCTATAAGGGTGCATTTATTTTAAAAAGCCATTCATGGTGGTCAGCTGCGTCAACCCGTGCCAACATCCCAGTACAAGGGGCCGAGGGTTGACATGCTGACTGCGGAATCTGAAAAGTTTCAGACCGGCGAACGCGAGGACAACCGTTACTACCAATTGGCCACACATGTCCGCTGCAAGGCGTTGATACTAACTTGTATACCCGCTGACTTGGCGTTACCCCCAAACCAAATGCAAGGTTTCCCACTTCGCGCCCAAAGGGTCTCCAGGTTCCGTCCCCTGGACGCTGAGTGACCCTTGATCCACTTTGCGCGTTTTTCGTGCGGGAGTATCTAATAGGACCTAGACATCAGACTAACGGCCCCCCCGTGCTTTGCGATGCTTAGCATCAGCTGGAAACCACGGACACCCCGCTTTCACCACATTCTGAAGCTTTGACATCACTTCCAGGAAGGCCCAGCTCCAGAACGCCCAGCGCTGAAGGCTACGCTGAAGGCCCCCCGGCCACTTTCCGACTCAGTCGATACTGGCCTCGGCGGTGGGTGGTGCACCTTCAATATGTGAGGGCCTCAGGGTGGGCGGTTGAATCCCATACAGTTGAAACCAAAACCCAGAAACTCCATGGGACTGCCGTATATGCCTGCATTGACCCATGAAGCCCCCCCAATTCATACGGCTATACTATGGCAGTGCCATGGAGTGCTGAGAGGAAAACCCTCCTTCGATCGTCAGGTGGATTGAGCCGAGAGTCTCAGTGGAAAGGCTCAGTCTCAGCGGAACCGGGCTCGGCTCCGCTGGGCTCTGGAGGCTGTGATGTTCAACCTTCAGGTGACCAGACATGAAGGTAACATGACCAGACATGGATCAAACATGTCCTGGTGATCACGAGCCATCTTTTAGCTCCTAGTAATTTCAAGGTAGATGACACCACTCATCCCATAAGAAGTCGTTTGCACAAACGACATTAAACCATCTCCTAAAGGCAGAAGTGGGGGTTGTACCATCCAAATGTCCGGAGATGTTTCATTCAATCTGCTACTAACATCTAGTACTAACAAAGGTTCCACGGGTTCCGAACGCCCGTTCAGCAGCCCAGCCCCAAACCCCCTCTCCCCTCCCGGCTCGGCCCCGGCGAGAGAGGTGTTCTCCTCGGTTCCTGAGGCCAACGGATCGGAGGGCCCTCCGGGTCGGCCAGTCGCCCAACATTTTCCAGAGTGCAGGCTCCACAAAAGGAGAGAGAGAGAGGGGGAGAGATGTACATCCCTTTTCGTCTCCTTTCGACCAAGCTGCCCGATCCTATGCACA